ACCCAAAACTCGAGCACTTTTGAATAGTTTACTATTCTTCAGATTTTCATGTTATCCTATCAAATTACATAAGGCAAGGGCCACTTGGAAGCTGCTCATGAGCATAACTCAATAAAAAAAAAAAAAAAAGTTTTATTATTATTTTACTTTATTTTACCTAATCTAACCTTATCTATCGTGAAAAGTTTCAAATGTTTACATTTTAATTACTTTTATGAGAGTAAATAAAAAATACACATGAAAAACAAGAAATATAGTACTTATCCAGGTCTTCTTATGATACTTAACGCTACTTTTTTCATTAATAGTACTAGTGCAATAAATAATTTTTATTTCATTAAATAATGCACCAAAGAACACAGAATGATAACACATAAAAAGCAGGCAAATGTCTTATAACTACAACAGTTTTTCTGACTTTTCAATCATTAGTACATGGAGTGAGAATAGCAGTTAGTGAGACTGATTTCTATGTTAATCTTCTGTTAGCTTACACAAGATAATGGTATGTCTAGTGGCAGAGCAATACCCCAAAATCTATCCTTGATACTGTTCCTTGTATCCACCATTGTAATTCCTAATCAGTCCTTTATATTCTCTATTTACTAAGTCTTCTGTTTTCTTTGGATCATTTCCTTTCTTAACTTTTTGTGTTATTCTTGCAATACAATTTTCAGTATTGAACAAAATATTCCCCAACAGTTTGTTTAATGTCCTCAGTTCATTTGTTTTATGCATTACACAATTCATATATGGGTATTGAACCATGAACAAAATGCTATCCACTTGTAAAAGAAATACACACCACATTCAAAAGAATCTTAAGGCTATTAGGACTTATTATTAAAAATTTTTTAAAAAAGTTAACCATTCCTTTGTGATTATAATGTTGTCAAACTTTGTTTTTGTTGGATGCAAACTACATGTTAAAATAAAAGAACTTGATAAATTTTGTTCTTTAATTCTCACATTAATTTAGCAAGCTCTTCCACAGATTCAACTCGACAGCTGGCAGGAAGATTAATTGATGCTATATTGGAACAGTTAGTGACCCCAGTGGGAGAAGTATCTTCCACAGTATCGTCTGTTAGCTCTGGTGTAGCTGTTACAGCTGTTAGTAATACTGACTACAGCACCTCGGGTGAAGGTATGATCATGTGTTTCACTGACAGTTATTTTCTGTTCAAGAATATCTTTGGTATTCACACATGCTGTTTTACAAATTTTAATGTTCTGGTTCATTATAAGTACTGTTAATTGTTCTTTAAGTTTGCTTCAGATTACTTAAAGAATATATATTTTGTAAAAGTTTGAGTGAAACTAACTAATAATACACAATATGCAATGTAAGTTCTGTGAATACTATTCAATATTTTTACTTCATGTTTCAAAGACCTAAAATTTTTGAAAAGTGCATTGTAAAACTGAAGAAAAAATAAAATAAAGAATTTGTAAAGCTATAAATACCAAAAGTATTAGGGCAGCATATTTTGACAAGAGTTTGGTGTCTTTCCCATGGAACCTTGTTTTGATAGTAAGTTAGCTTACCTTTAGTATTTTACTGCATTAACTGCTGCTAATACTTGCCACCAACTTTGGACACACCTATTACAATGCTCCTGAACAACTCAAAGTAATTCGTCTTGATTTAGGTTGGGTCTCTGGGCTAATTCAAGTTGTTGAAATCGTTTGTTTCTAATCGCTTCTGCACATAATTTTCATATGGTAATGATGCATTATCATTCTGAAAGAAAATATCATTCTCCATGAAATTCCATCAAAACAGGCACTATAATGTTGTCAAGAATGTTGCAGGATGACAAGGCATTTATAGCTTCCTTAACTAATAATAGTAGAACAGGTCTAAACTAATTAAAACAAACTGATTCCATCAGACTGACCCAACTACACTTCATGGATGGAATGACTTTTCTAGTTATATATTTAATGTTCATGTGCAAGTTTTCTTATAACTGTGTATCTAATTACTGCTTGATTCTATATAATTGAAGTGAGACTAGGCCTTGGAAGAGAAGATAAACAAGTTCTTCACAAAATTAAATCTGGTTAATGACCAAAAACTTCCTGTTGTTGGCTATCAGTGTGTCATATTTGTTCTTGTAGAAAAAAATGACTGAATAGAAATAAAAGTAAACCTGTTTCTTTTATGATGTATATTTTGTTTGTTTCAGGACCTGCCACATCAGCAAGTGTTTCAAGTACAGAGCATAGTATTTTACAGCCTTCTCCTTTCACATGTTCTTTATCCTCTCTCAGTGCCTCAAGAGGGTAAGCTTAGTTTGAATATTATTGATTTCTGTTAAAAAGAATTCATTTAGAAGAAAATATCTTCATAATAATTAAAATTACTAAAGAGTTACTTAGTAGAAATATACATTCTTAGATATCATATCTCCTGCACATGAACTGAAAAGATCTACAAGTTGAGATATGAAAAATACTATTTCTTTCAAATCAAGTGAACAAATAAGCTAATGTACATTATCTGGAAAAACAATTTAACTTTGGCAACTTTCCTAAATATTTTAATTGCATTAAAATATTATCCAGAAATATATTGTTGTTGTTGTTGTTCTTAATGTATATCCATGTGGTTATTGGATTATGTTTTGTCAGTGTGAATTAAGCAAACCAGAAACAAAAGAAAACTTTTATTCAAACAGATTCTTTTATATAGTTTGTTTTCTTCAAAATAACTTAAATTTGTTGTTTTGATTAGGTGGAGAGAGAATGAAGCAAGCCAGCAACTACAAGTTGACACTACTACTACTACTACTACAGTTAGGCAGCCTCAACAGCAAGAACAAAGTACTTTCCTACCTGGACCACTCATCAGCTTTACTTCTTCTCCAATGGACACAAGTGAACCTCCATCCCACATCCCATCTGTCGAAATCCCAGCTGTTTTCTCAGAAAGGCCAGTCTCTATACCTAACATACAGAGCAGTCGAACTGATACTAGTCTAGCAGATAGTAGTGTGTGGCAAGTAGCTGAAAGCACCGTTGATTTGGTTATGCCTACAAGTGAATCAACTGGTCAGTAGCAGCTTCTTTTATAGTTTATATTTTAGTGTCAGATGTTAAGATATTCTATTTTCTGTAACTCACGTTTAATCACATGGTAGAGGTAGTTTTTGCACTTTTTTTGATCTTGTTTTAATATATCAGGTGTAATTGGTATACATATATAACTAAAATGTTTAATAGTACAATCAAATGTAAAGTTGGTGTCTTATTTAAATTTTATGGATATTGTACAATACAGTATAAACCATTCTTTAGTGTTATAATGTATGTTAGGTTTTGAACAGACTTTTACATTCATATTTAAAGTGTTTGTAAGTAGAGGTTCAAGTAACTATTTCAAAATATGGCGAGAATAAATTTGTCTTTGAATAGAGTTTCTCAATGATATTATACTCTTAATTGTTTAAATACAGCTATTTTCTCCTTTTCCTCAAAACTAAATTCATAAATTATGTTTAAGATTTTTCAGCAGTTTTGTGTGTGTCAGGTTTTTAAGAACTTCATACTATCAAATTTGAAGCAATTTCGTAATGTCAGATTTGGAAAGCAACATCTCCAGTGTCTGGTTTAAAAAAAGCAGCTTCCACTGTGTCTGGTTTAGAAATGAACATCCACAGTATCAGTTGTAGAAAGCAACTCCTCCATTATTAGTTATATAAATCAACCTCTACGGTGCCGGGTTTAGAAAACAACTTTCCCAGTGCCCATTTTTGAAAGGAGTTTGTAGTATATAAACATTGTTAGATTTGTAAAAGAGTTTCCAATGTAAGATTTCTAAAGTATTCTGTAAGCAACGTTGTAATGTCTGAGTTGTAAAGCAAGTTCACAAATGTAGTGATGATTGTAATGAAACATCAAAATCTTTGGTTTGTAGGACAATTTTTTTAAATGTAGTACATGGATTTTTCTTTATCCTCCCTATGATTAGCATCTTCAGCAGTGGACATTATTGGAATTTTATCCACATCTGATGATACCAGTACACCTGAAGATCTCTCCCACACTCCTGGTGCAATAATTTCTTCAGGTATGGATCATTTTTAATATCATGTATAATCTTGATGACAGTTGGCTTTTTCAATAGCAGGAATAGATATTATTGGCACTGAAATGACGATAGCTATTAAGTGGGTCAAGTTTTTATAGTTATTCTTGTGCTATTAATCTTTGAATCATTTAGCTCAAAATTCACAAATATCAATGTTGAAAGTATTGATTAATGAAAACTTAGTGTTAATTAGAAATATAGTAATAAAAGTGTTAAATTCTGGTTACAAGAGAAATGTACTGCCAACTAACAGACTTTTTTCTCTAGCAGCTGAAACTATCCAGACTTTAACAACCACTACAACTCAAGTTCCTGGATCATCCTATGATACCCACCAGCTAATAACTTCTGAAGCCACAAGTACTACTATTAGTGCAACTGAGGCAGGGACTTCCTCTTCAACATCAACATCAGATTATGTTAGCATATTAGGAGGTGTGTTGTTCATTCCAGTATAATAATTTTCTTTTCAAACTATAGAGAAGAAGAAGAGTAGAATTAAGTATGTCGTCTAATTCTATATCAACTGTGATAGCAAAGTACTAGCTATGTTTTCTTTGTACACTATAAAGAGGACAAGTAAGGTCAGAAAGTGAGTTTTCATATTGTGTGGATTTATCGGTTGTAAAGTTTTGGATGTTAATTACTCATCCCACTGATTTTTATTATTATTATTATCCATAGTGGTGAATATGTGCTGTTCATCCCACATAGTTTTATCTTGTGATCTCCACAGTTCAATGTGTGAGATTTATAATGTCATTATAGTTTTGTTGTTACTTTTACTCGTGCTTGCTGTCAACTAAACAAATATTTGTGAAGTCATTTATCTTTTCTGATATTTTGCATTAATGTTTAGCAACGTAATGGTTTTTACTGGCTCTTTTTACACATACAAACACTATATCTGTTTGTTACTTCATTATAAAAATTCTCTGTTTACATGTAGCAGTACTTAGTGAATGTTCTGAATAATATTTATATTTTTCATACGATTTTTTACTACTTTATCAGTACATTGAATATTGCTTTATAAGAAGTGTTTCCCATTGTAGTGTTCATTTGAATAATGGAATGATTTTGTTAAGACACAGAAATACCAGAAGGTGTTGATCCATCATTTTTGGCTGCATTGCCTGAGAATATTAGGCAAGAAGTTATTGCAGAGCAGCTTAGGCTTCAGCGACTTCGTCAAAGAGCCCAAGCTGCTGCAACTAGTCAGACAACAACAGAAGGAACATCCTTTACAGAAGTCAACCCTGAATTTCTTGCAGCTCTACCTCCAAATATTCAAGAAGAGGTAGTGTAATAAATATTAAAAAAATTACAATAACCTATTCTTTGTATTTCATACAGAGTGTCATGCAGTAATTTTTCATTGTTATTGTTTATAGTTAGTTGACATATGATACTTATTTGCAGGATAAAAAAAATCTTGAAATTTTACAGATTGTGCTATATTAAAGTTCTGTCATATGTAATAGACATTTTCTAGACATGTCAAAGGTAACAAGTGGAAAATTTTACCTAGCTATCAAATATTGTGTATAAAGTTGAACCAACTCTTCTTTATTCATATTTATGTAGTTGTTGTATTGTTTAGTAATGATTGCATCTGTATGTGTAGGTATTAGCTCAGCAGCGAGCTGAACAGCAGAGGTTAGCAGCTCAGAATTCCAATCCAGACACTCCAGTTGATCCTGCTAACTTTATACAGACCTTACCTCCTGGACTACGTCAACAGGTCAGTGAAGGTTAAAATAGTGTTACGTGAAATTTTAGCAATTGTGAAAAACTAACTTCACCTATTTATGGGACATCATATCTGTATGTATCTTTATGTGTGGGTGACATTTAAATAAAAAGATACTTTCACAGTTTCTGACATGATGGCAGTCTTGTTTTCTTCCTGTTGACATATGTAAACTATTTGTATTTTTGTGTACAAGTAACATATGAATAAAACATTTTTTAGGTCCTTGCTGACATGGATGATAGTCTCCTAGCCTTACTTCCTTCTGATTTAGCAACTGAAGCTCATACTTTAAGGAGAGAATGGGAAACGCGACACAGACAAATGCAAGAACGGTTATTTTCATCTCATGCAGGCACTGCACTCTCTAGAATTCTTCGATCTGCAGGTAGTTGCAGAAGCCTTATTATAACATGATCTTATAATAGTAACTAATTATGAAATTTGTTGTACGTTATGGAATTTTAATTGTATTTAAAGCTGTTTAAGAGGAATGCTACACTGTAGCAGCAAACTTTTTTATGTAAGGCTAGAATACTTTAAAATAGATGACTGCTATGTTATGTGGTTAAAAACTTATTTACAGTTAGCATAGTTTAGAAAGAGGAATGCTATATTAACAGCGTACTTTTTGTATTTAAAGCTGACAAATCTTAAGAAAGAATTGCTATGTTTTGTAATAGCATATTTTTTATTTTAAAGCTGACAAATTTTAAGAGAGGAATACTAAATTGTTTAGCAGCATACATTTATTTAAAGCTTACATAGTTAAGAAAGGAATGCTGGGTTGTATAATGTGCATAAAGTGTTTAATATTTGTATATATGGTTTGAAGGTTATGAAACATGCTGTAATTTTTTCCTTAGAGGTAGTCTCCCTTTGTTTTAATAATAATATCTTTAATCTAAATGTAAATATTTATTCTAGTTATCATAGATACTTCATTGTCAGCTTATATGTTATTTTCTGTTATGTGTATGTATCATCTTGTTTAACTATTCCAGTATAGTATGTATTTTACAATAGCAAATGACACCTTTATACTTCAAAACATTCTGTTATGATCTCTCCCCTCAAATCCACCTGCAAATGTTTAAAAAGTTAAAGAAGTACTGTATATCGGACATTATCAAGACTGAATTTAATAGATGTCAGTGAGACTTGAAAGGTTTATAGGGAATATCTTGACTTTTTTTTAAGGACGGATGGGTACACGCTACACAATTCATACCGTTCCTCATCGTGGACAGTGGGCGTGGAACACCTTATCTTCACGAGCAGGAGGAGCTTGTAGCAGTGGCACAGCAGGCTTGGCTAGTACATTACGTTTACGTGGAAAACAGCTATTAGATCACGAGGCTTTATCATGTTTGTTAGTTTTACTTTTTATGGATGAACCAAAACTGAATACAACTCGTTTACACAGAGTGTTAAGAAACTTGTGTTACCATCCTCCTACTCGACAATGGATGATCAAGGTAAGCTGTAATGGTCTAAGTATTTATGCAGTATTTATTACTTATTAATAACTGTGTCCATAGTCATTATTTGTGCAGTTGTGTATAAAGCTTTGAGAATACTTTAATCAGTATTGCCTTTTTGTTTGCATAGTATTGTATTAACCCTTTTAGCAGGGTGGATGTGATTACCATCTGCTCAACTAGGGAAGGTCATTTATACAACAAAAATACAGTAACATTATGTGTTCCTCACAAAAACTAGTAAGATTTTGTTAAAGTTTATAAGTATCTTGTACACAAAGAATGACATTATTCTAATTACGTTTTTTCAATAAAAATGTTATTTATCTATAGTAGTTATTTGTACTGAAACTCTGAATACTTCGAGAACAAGATGATTTTCATTTTAAGTATAAAAAGTACTTTTCTTTATCTTATAGTTTTTCATATTTTATTTGCATAACCTATAGAACCTCTTAAATGAATATCAAAAAATTTTTAAGGTAGATATTTAATTTTTTTTCATTTTCTATACCATATCACTAACTAGTTATTATCATCAATGAAAATCACTTTATATTCAGAGCAGTCAACACTCTGACTCCTTATATTCATGGACAAATTTTTTGTAAAATTATTTAATTAAAAAATCTGATTTTTTAAGTACAAAATGTTTGTAATGTTTAATAAAAGCTTGCCATATTCTAGTATGTATACCTTCATTGTTTGATTGTGGTTGTGAGGTTATGTAAAATGCACAAGCTTGTTGCAAAAGGGTTAACCCTATGACTACACCCAGCCCATAAACACCAAAGTACCCATGAGAGTAATTAAACTATTATTTTTGTTAATGTACATGTATCTTTACAAAATTTTGCATATTATTAGTAAACATTACAAGGTTTTCATACATAAAATATCAGAATTTTAAATTAAATATTAAGATAATTTAATTAAAGACTTGTTTGTGAATATTTTCTTTCAGAATGTTGACTATCCAATATGCAAAGTAATTTTAATTTTAAGATTGAAAATACTTTTCTTTATCTGAAAATTGTCAAGTTCCATTTGTGTAATCCCTGTCCTACTAGATAATCATCAAATGTTTTTTGTTTTTTAATAAAACTATATTATTATCAACCTTATCTCTGTGTGGTGTTGGTCGATTTGATTGACCTTGTAACCATCATAAAAATTAGTATTCCCATCCCACCCCCCTATAATAACTGCGAACTGTATCAGGAAACTACATATGTTTGTTCTAAGTATCTTAAATCTCATAACAGTATGCATATATTTATATTTATTCATTTTTTGTTTTATTGACTTTTGAACTAAGTCTGACTAATAATGGTTGGAGACGGCTTGAATGGGTAATGAAGAAAAACTTTAATGTAAGTTTAACGTAACAGCAAATGTACAATGTTTCGACAAGGTTTTGCATCATCAGGTACAAGTAATTTACACAGACACAGATATATATATAT